GGGTATGAATGGCAGGCTGCTTATTGCCGTGAGGGGCTTTGGGACTGGGTTACCCTCCAGGGGGTTGGAGCACCTTAAGTTCCTTAGGATTCCCAGCCTGCTGAGCTGCGTGTGCCGGGACAATTCCGTCCAGCTGTTAAGCCCGTCCCTTTAAGACTTTCAAAAAGCACCTGCTTTTCTTTTGTCCCAGGGGAGCCAGCTGTGGCGACCTGCTTGCAGTCTCTGTCTCAGATTTTACTTTTCCGTTTCTCTGATATCCAGTACACCATGCAATGTGTGTCTGTGCTCCCAGTGTAGATTACTAGGATTGGTTATTTAGCAGTCCTGTGCTTCCACTCCCTCCCCACTGATTGTTTTCCTCCCACCAGTGAGCTGCGGTTGGGGGGAGTGCTCAGGTCCCACTATGTCATGGCTTTGTATCTTACCCTTTTTGTAGGATGCTAAGTTCTTGCAGATGTAGATGTAGCCTGGCTGTTGTACTGTATCTTCTGATCTCTCTTTTAGGAGTAGTTTTATTTGTTGTGTTTTCAAAAATATATATGGTTTTGGGAGATTTCCACCGCCCTACTCACGCTGCCATCTTGCACCTCTCTTCTGGTTCTCATTTTTATGTGAAATTAGCTTTCCTGCACATTTAGGAGAGGCATGAGTTAGGTTAGCTCTGCTAAATTTAAAGTTCTACAGCTTCCTCCTCTGTTCTCATGAAGCATTTGGAAACATAGCTTCATACTTTCTGAGATTTCCTGGCTCCGTTCCCCACCTTCATCTCGTCTGAATTTCCCTTTCATTTGCCCCAAATATCACTGCCTTTTCCTGTTTTTATTCTGTTTCTATTCTGATGTCCAGGAAAAACACTTCAGCTTGGTTTTGAGAGTTCAAAAGACCCGGACTGCTCCAGCTTCTTCAGGCCTTACTTTAGTCTGCAGATTGGTTGTACCAAATTCCCCCTCCCCCATTCTATCAGCTGCTCTCCTATTGGACCACTGTACTTTTCAGGAGGAGACTCTGGGTGGTTGCTGTGGCCAGGGCTATTTTTGGGGTTGTTTTATTTTTATTTCTCATACACCCTGTTGCTTCCCTCTGCTTCTTTCCACAAAAATGCTCATATCACATGAGTCTTTGAGCTGCCAGTAGTTTCTACCTACTCAGATTTTGGGGTTAGTGCTGATATCTTGTCACCATTGTTGTAGATGTCATTCATAGGTTTCTTGATTTGCTACCCCCTTGCCGTTTTTATGGAGGAATTCAGGGAGACTCAAAAATGTCACTGCTGCCTTCCCAGAAGTCTTTGCTCTGAATTTTTTATATGATTCCAACCAGTGAACTCAAACTGAGAAGGGACAAACCACCATTCATTAACTTTTCTAAAAGTAGGGGTTCCAGAATGTAATAGTTACCTATCTAAAACCCATTCTAGTTTTATTCAGGTGGCAGTGTGCCCAGCTAATGAGCATTTGCCAGCCTCCTTTGCAACTAGGGATGACCATATGGTAACAGTTCTGACCAGTAAGATATAAGCCTAAGACAGTGGGTGAGCTTTGGTGAAAGCTCATCAAAATACAGGTAGACTCGACTGGCTAACCCCTTTTGCCCTTTCCCTTCTACCTGTCTATCAAAAGTGAAGTTGAGCTGGAGAGAGCTGAGCTGCCAGATGTCTGAGCAGTGAAAATGGAAGTAATATTCATGCCTTTAATCATTTACTGTGATAATATAAGCAAGACCCTACACATGAGAAAGCACTGACTCCCCCTGATGTTCTATTTTTCTCCATGGTACAGTACCAGGTGAGTCAGGTGGACTAGTAAAGATGTGGGAATGGTCTCATGGCCAAAGGATCCCTAAAAAGTTTCCTGCCATTATACAGACCCAGGAGGCTGGAAGGGGATGGAGTAGGAGGGTCTAGGAGTGGAAAAGTACTGAGTACTGAGTCAGAATGGAGAAAGCCACACTTAAAAATTCTTCAGCTCCCCACTAAATCCTGCAGTAAGTTGATCTTGGCAGAGGTAACTGAAGGAGACCACAGCTAGGGTCCCCACCCCTTCCCCCATAAGGAGGTCTTCAACTGGAGGAGGCTGGGCTAGAAATGTAGATATGCATAAGAGCAAGGCTGGGGTGATGGTGGGATAGGGCCACAGTCCTTGACGGCAAGTCCCCTCAGTGGGTGTGGGACACAGGCTGTGCACTTAGGACTGGTGTGAGTGGGCCAGCTGCAGGTAAATGTTTGCAACATAGCGTGTGGTCAGGCCTGAAATACCACATAGGTTTCTGGCTTAAAGCTGGACTCCTCACTGCCTGGACTTCCCTGGAGAGAAAGTAGACATCTTGGAATCAGATAATGACAAATTCATGCTAAGGGCTGCTAAGAAGTCGAAAAACAAAAAGAAAGAACTCAGAATCCCTGAGGCATCATGGAGCAGCCATATTAACCTGGGTGGGGCTACCTCTAAACCTCTATTCATATGAGAAAAATAAAAGTTATTTGTTTATGCTACTGCTTTTCAGGGTTCTTTCACAGCTAAATGCAATTCATAAATGCTACATGGGGGGCCTAAGAGCAGTGGCTTCCCTGGTTGGCTAATGAAATTTCCACTGGTCTTTGGTAGGTGAGAAAAAATGAATGTATAGCCACTTTTCATGAAGCTTACATTTACTCAAGTTTTTAGTCCTGAGATTATGCCTTTCTGTATTATCTGATGTAATGTCCTCTCTTTATAATATGATGGTACTAATTTATGGTGCTGGTTGTATCTAAAATCCTTACTTAAAAATTAATTCCTGACCATTCAGTATAGAATCTCTTAATATTTTTGGAAAAATTTACAAGTATATCACACTTAAAAGTACTTAGCAGTAACTAGAGTCCCACTCATGTGTGGATATTTATGTATGCCTGGGAAAAACTCACTGTTTTAACACTTTCAACCCTTCTGTGACTAGATGTGTGGGTTTTCTACACCAAGCAGTTCTGACACTAAGGACCTGGAGTTAGTGCAGACCAGGTTATGGGCTTAGTCCAATAAGACTGCTGCCCACACCCCCACCCTGTCCCCGCACTTCAGATGCCAATACAAGTAGTGGGGTCCCCATGTTACCCGACTTCTGTCCAATTTGGCTACAAATTAGAGGTTCCCATGACTCCCTCCTTGGGTTTAATAATTTGCTCACAGAACCCAGAAAAAGTTTACTTACTATTGCTGATTTATTACAAAGGATGTCTTACAGGATACAAATGAACAGCCAGATGAAGAGAAAAGTACAGCAAGGTCTGATAGGGTCCCAGGGGGAAAGACTTCTGTCCCTCCCAGGGTTGGGGCTGTACCACCCTCCTGGCAAGTGGGTGTATTCACCAATCTGAAAGCTCTCCAAAAATATGCTCTATTCTTCAATAGGAAATTGGATTTTTATGGAGGCTTCTTCACATAGGCATGATTGATGATTAACTCCATTTCCAACCCATCTCCTTTCTCTGGAGAACAGGGACTGGGGAATGAAGTTCCAAGCTTCTAATCATGGCTTGGTCTTTCTGGTGACCAGCCTACTCCAGAGCCCCACAAGAGTCACTTCATTATAATGAAAGATCCTCCACCATCCAGGAAATCCAAAGGTCTTAGGAGCTCTGTGTCAGAAACTGGGGTCAAAGACCAAATATTAAGCTAAAGATTATCCAAGTACCCCTATTTACAAGGATTTTAAGGACTTTATGTCAGGGACCAGGGCAGATCATATACATATATATTACTATTTCACAATACGCTCTATTCCTCAATAGGAAAAATATCCTGGCACTTTTGGTAAGAGGCAGAAGGGAGGCTGCAGATGCCTTGTACAGGGGAATTCACAGGAGCCACATGTGCAGGAATGCCTGCCTTGGGCAGCAGGAGTTGAGTAACAAAGAGCAAGTGAGCCAGGTTACCAGTTCAGAGGGTGACCAGAAAGTACAGACACCAAGTTCTTTGAAGAGTTCTTGAAGACCAAAGAAACATACAGCTGGAGGAGTCAGGGGGCACAACACATGTGCAGGAATGCCTGCCTTGGGCAGCAGGAGTTGAGTAACAAAGAGCAAGTGAGCCAGGTTACCAGTTCAGAGGGTGACCAGAAAGTACAGACACCAAGTTCTTTGAAGAGTTCTTGAAGACCAAAGAAACATACAGCTGGAGGAGTCAGGGGGCACAGAACAGCTACTTTCAAACATCTGAAGTTAACAAAGGGACAAACGCTCAGATCTGATCTGACGGGCCCAGGAGTGGAGCTGGGACTCACCGGTGAGAGCTGCAGAGACCCGCAGAGACCCGACAAGTCGTACAAAGGAGGGGCGGCTGCCCTGGAGAAGCTGAGACCAGCAGCTGCTCTGCCGCCGCCACCAGGCTGGGAGACCCGTGGGAACAGGGAAATTGTCTGTCTTGTTTGCTGCTCTAGCCCCACCAGAATGGTGATCAACACACAGTAGGTGCACCATATATATTTGTTGAATAATTTAATGGGGGGATACTCAGCATTTGATGGAGATCTGCCAAGGTGACCTTAAGCTCACTGTAGCCTGAATTTGTGTGCATCTTCTTTTATCTGCGTGATCAGCCTTTTAAGTTCAAATGTGTCTTTGGCTGTCTCAGAAATAGAGAGGAAACTCCTGACCTGAAGAGAAGTTTGGAACAACAGAAAGAGTAAGGAATCAGCAATCCGAACTCACAGGAGGTTACATTTTGAATAAAAAGTATAAAAAAGTATCTTTGAGGTATCCCTGGTTCTCCCTTTAAGGCACTCTAGCCAGGAAGTCATGCCACCTTGAAAAGGAATTCATAGTGCCCTCAATAATTTTCTAAGATATGTGTGTCAAAATACTGTGTAAGTGACCACGTTCTTTAAACCCACTGTTCCATACTTACCAGATGAAAAATTCTGATGTCCATTTTAACCCCTACACCCCAACAGCTAGCACATTTAATCAGATTCCCAGCAGCCTTCAGCACACTAAAGATAAAACATCGAGGAAGAACTTGAGGTCAAATTCATAAAGTCGTCCAGACACAGACTTATGTGAGGTATTTATTTTGCGACCATTAAGTTCAGTTACCCAGTGTCAGGTCACCAAAGACAAATTTTTAGGCTTCCAGTGAATCCCAACCAAAGTTCCCACCATTTGGCCTCTTTAGGATGTCAAGCATTTGGAGGAAAGAGGATCACCTATGTAATCTATACATAATTGTGAGGAAAGACATGAGAAGTTAGGGTGGATCCACTTCAGGTATTACGGGCGTACCTAACATGAAGAACATCACCTGGTGGGGAGAGGAAATGGCAGGGCGCTCGGCGCATCTAACCCATTCCCTTGTACCTCAGTCAGCAGTCAAAATGATAATTGGTAGCAGAGAGAGAAGAGCTGAAAGACACATATGCTGACCAACATTTAATTTTGCTTGTTGGAGAAGTGGTGGGGCTCCAGGGCAGCCCCTCTAGGTGCTGGGGCTGGTGTCGCTCCATCCATTTCCTGCTGGCTTTGGTCATTCTGCATCCCTGCAGCGGGTGCCATGTCCAAAAGCAGCACACCCAAAAGATACTGAACTGAAAAACAAAGAGAGTAACTTTCCACATGAAGATTCCCCCATACAGAAAGGACCTAAATCGTAGAAAAGGGTATTTATGTTTAGAGGTACAGCTTCAACACCAGAGCAGTCTGCCACCACCAGCATCCAAAATCTAGAGCCTTGAGCCCTGATTTATGAGCTCTATGGAGACTAACTGCTAAGAAATGGTATTTTTTAAAGTTTTCCTCTATTTCTTTGGAAACCCAGTGACTTTCTCTGACCCAGATCTCAAAGCTACCTTTACCCACCCTTCTTTCTCTCTTTTCCTTGTGACAGCTCTGTGTTAGGTGCTAGAGGAAGAAAAATAAGGTAAATATGGAGAGACATAAAAGGATTTGGGAACTGGAGAGCTGTATATCGTTGCTGAAACATAAGGTTAAATAGGGGACAATGGCAGGATATGAGGCAAGACAAACAGATTAGGGACAGATCTTGGCAATCCAGGGAGTTTGGATTTGTATTTTAGAAAATAGGAGGCCAAAACAAAAAGGTTTTAAGTAAAGGACTGACAGAGTTAAAGACACAGTCAGATTTACACATTTTCAAAGACCCCTGTGGCTACATATAGGATGAAGCGGACAGAGGGAAAGAAAGGAGACATAGAAACCCATCAAGTTATTACCATAGTCCCAGTGGGAGATGATTGGGTCCTGAACGCTGGGTGTGGTACTGAAAGGACAGATTTGAGAAATATTGGAGAGGCAGAATACCTAAGTCACAGACAGGTAAGATGTGGCAGATAAGAGGAAGGAATGTACACTGATGCCAAGGTTTCTAGCTTGGGTGACTGGTGGATAACCCAACAAAGACCGACTGAGGGCTCACGTGCCAGGCACTGAGTACAATGATGAATAAAGCAAACATGGTTCCAGCTCTCAAGAAACTTAAACAGTATAGCTGGGGAAACTACAGGGTAAACAAATACAAAAACAAAACAAAAAAACCAACCCCACATAATTTACGTAATTACAATTGTAAGATACTGTGAGAAGGCACTGTAGTATAGAATATAACCTAGTCTGAAGTCGGGCAGTATCGAGGGTGTCATTCACAGAGACAGGAAAATTTAAACAGGGTCTGGTTGTAGGGGAGGATGAGTTGAGCTTTGAACATAATGAATTTGAGGCATCTTTTGGTATGCCTCTTTGGGGATTTGCAAGAGACGGGAACTTGGAAAGAAGGCTACAGATAGAGTTAAACTCAAGGGAGATTAAGGAATGTGGCAGAGAGGGGCTCCTCATGCATGGCCTTCCACCTCAGAGAATAAGCCAAGCCTCCTGGGAGCCCTCTGCAGAACAGTATCACAACCAGCCGTCAGCATCTGACCATGCTACAGGCCTGTCTGTCTACATCTCCTAACTCTACAAGATGGAGAAGTTGCCAACAACGTATCTATCAAAAGTGGCTAGAGAGGGTGGGATGCTATCATTTGCTGGAGTGAAGAACTTACAGTGCTGACTGACCTTCTGGTGAACATCAGCTGCAGTTTGGAAAATTCTAAATAAAGGTAGGGACACACTAGCCCACAGGGCAGGCACTAAAGGTTTTATTTTCATAAATATATACTGTTTGTCTCTCATCTTTCTAGCTGTCTGTTCCAAATTAATGTCAAGACTGGAGAAAGATGTGAAGACAGAAAATTCCTTTCTCCTGCTGCCAACTTTTGGTAGATGATACTGTCCTTTGTGCTAGACTTGGTCCGTAATATCATCATCAGCCAGGGCTCCCTCACCTATTGCTGGGCAAGGACCTGCTTCTTGGCCACTTCTGGCTTCCCACCTTGGCAATGGCATATCCTGCTCCCTTCCTGGACCCAGCCCTGCACCCAAGCCTGGAGAGCATCACCACTGTCTGATCTGGGGTGTTCCAACCAGCAGTTCTGAAAGTCATGATTCTCTAATTTAGCATGGCCTTCTAGTTTGTCTGATGCACGAGATATAAAGTTGGGGTGCAAAACCTTGGAAGGTAAGGACCTATCTCCATTGTTCACCCCAGTAGCCCAGCAGAGTAGCAAAGACTAGGCCCCAATGAATAAACAAGTAAAGAGTTCCCAAGTAACTTGGCAAAGGAATCCAATAAAGTTTTGGGTGCCACATGATATGTATATCAACTGTCATTTGTGCAAAATCAAGCTTTTCCCAAATGCCTGCTGGGTGTTGGGACTATACTAGTAAATCAAACTCTGTCCTCAAGGAATTCTCAGTTTGTGGATTTACAGTAAATAAGAAAACTGCCATAATAGAATACACAAAGAGCTATGGGAGAGCACAGAAGTAAACTTCACCAAGAAGAGGGTATCTGAAAGTGGGTCCTAAAGAATACATAGTAAGTTTCCAAGTAGACAAGCTAGGGAAGAGAATTCCAGAACTTAAAAAAAAAAAACCTCACAAGATTTAAAAGTACTATTCTTAGTACAAGCATACTTCATTTTATTGTCCTTTGCAGGTATTGTATTTTATATAAACTGAAGGTTTGCAGCAACCCTCCATCAAGCAAGATTATAGGTGCCATTTTTCCAAGAGCATTTACTCACTTTGTCCCATGTCACATTTTGGTAATTCTTACAAGATTTCAAATTTTTCATTATTACTGTATTTTTTACAGTGATCTGTAATCAGCAATCTTCGATGTTACTACTACAATTGTTCTGGGGTACCACGAACTGCACCCATATATGACTATGAACTTCATCAACAAATATTGTGTGTGTTCTAACTTCTCCACTGACCAGCCATTCACCCATCTCTTTTCCTCTCCTCAGGCTTCCCCATTCCCTGAGACACAACAATATTGAAATTAGCAAGTGCTGATGTAGAAGCTGCAGCAAGTTATCCAGGAGATCTAGCTAAAATTATTCATGAAGGTGGCTACACTAAATAACAGATGTTTAGTATAGAAAAAACAGCCTTCTATTGAATGAAGATGTCATCTAGGACTTTCATACCTGGAGAGGAGAAGTCAGTACAAAGTTTCAAAGGACAGGCTGACTCTCCTGTTAGGGGCTAATGCAGCTGGTGACTTGAAGTTGAAGCCAGTTCTCATTTATCTTTAGAAAAATCCTAGGGTCATGATTTAAGCTGAATCTACTCTGCCTGTCCTCTATAAATGGAACAACAAGGCCTGGACGACAGCACATCTGTTCACAACATGGTTCACTGAATATTTTCTGCCCACTGTTGAGAACAACTGTTCAGTAAGAGTTCCTTTCAAAATGTTATTGCTCATTGACAATGAACCTTGGTCACCTAAGAGCTTTGATAGAGATGTACAAGGAGACTAATGCTGTTTTCACACCTGCTAACACAGCATCCATTCTACACCCCATGGACCATTTCTTTTAGTATTTAAAAAATAAATTTCATAAGGCTATAGCTGCCATAGATAGTGATTCCTCTGATGGATCTGGGCAACATAAACTGAAAACTTTCTGGAAAGGATTCACCCTTCTAGATGCCATAAATAACATCTGTGATTTATGTGAACAGGTTAAAATATCAACATTTATAGTTTGGAAGAAGTTGATTCTAACCCTCATGGATGACTTTGAGGGGTTCAAGACGTAGGAGGAGGAAGTTAAGTGCAGATGTGGTGGAAACAGCAAGAGAACTAGAATTAGAGGTGGAGCCTGGGATATGTCTGAACTGCTGCATCTTAGGATCGAACCTGCACAGATGAGCAGTTGTTTTTGCTGTTTCTTGAGAAGGAAGCTACTCCTGGTGAAGATGCTGTGAAGATAGTTGGAGTGACAACAAAGGACTTAAAATATCACATTATCTTACTTGGTAAAGCAGTAGCAGGTTTTGAGAGGACTGATTCCAGTTTGAAGGTTCTACTGTGGGGAAAGAACTATCAAACAACATGGCATGCTACAGAGCAATAGTTCATGAAAGGAAGAGTCCGTCAGTGCAGCAAATTTCATTGTTGTCTTAGTTTAAGAAATTGTTACAGCTACCCCAACCTTCAGCAATCACTGTGATCAGGCAGCAGCCATCAACGTCAAAGCAAGATCTTACACCAGCAGAAAGATTAGGACTCGCTGAAAGCTCAGATGATAGAGATCTATTTTTAGCAATACAGTACTTGTTAAGTAAGGCATGTATATTGTTTTTTTAGACGTAATGCCATTGCACACTTAAAAGACTACAGCACAATGTAAATACAAATTTTACATGCACTGGGAAACCAAAAAATTCATTTGACTCACTTTATTGTGCTACTTATTTTATTGCTATGGTCTGGAACCAACCCCACAACATCTGAGCTATGCCTATACTTAGTGTAGTGTTTTACTGTTGTTACTGTTTGTTGTGAGTACATGGTAGGATAAAACAATCAAGCACTTATTCAATAGTCTAAGCCTATCATGGCTACTATCATTGAGAAGTGAGATCCTCAGTATGGGAGAAAGGAAATAGAGAAGGTAAAAGCGATTTAGTAAAAACTCTATAGTACAAAATGAAGTGTGAGTATGAACTCACAATGTATCTTCTTTAAAAAAAAAAACAAAAACAGAAACACAAGCAAACAACAAACATATTTCCTGGCTCCCAACACAACACAGGCCTGTTAGGAGCAACCAAGCCAGTTGCAGTGAATGCGACTAGCATCCAGATTGGGATCCGGAAATACTATTTCCCCAGTGAACAGAATCAAGGCTCCTTCAAGAAATGGCTCAGTCTGGGTCTAGAAGAGGAAATGTTCAAAATGAGACTGGAACATTTTGTCATAACATAGCAAGGCAATTATCCCAGGGCCATGCCAACAGGACTTGAAGAGGCTCCCTCTGGCTAAAGACAGGACAATCTGAACATCATTCAGCATAACACTTGCAATGGACTCAAACTGGTCACTGTGGCAGCTCGTAAGCCAGCAACTGTTTTGGAAGTAGGGGAATAAAACGAAATAATCATTTTTCTTGCTTTTCTTATATAAACTATTATCACAGGATAGCCAAATTGTAGATGAAGGGAAGTTTCT